CATATTAAACAATAATAAGTATGATAAATAACAAATGTTTTTATTAATGATGGAAATGGAATGTAAAATTTAAAATCAATTAGATATAAAAATATTTTTATATTCTCTTTCATTAAATCCTACATTTTAGATATATTTTTCTCATCATTAAATTCTTGTAGTTAAATCCACAATATTAATTTTAATAGTATAGAAAAGTAAATATTTTGAAAAGTAATTTGAAAACAAAAAAAAAATCTTCCCTTCTGGTGGTGGGCAAGCAATTCAACCAATATTTGGGGTCAAAATAAATTAATAAATAATGTGATAATTAAATAATAAAAAATTAAAATAAATAAGTATGAAATGTCATAAGTATTTTTATTAATGATGAAAATGGAATGCCAGATTTAAGATCTACCTAGAAATGAAATGATGTCATAGTCAAATAATAAAATTTAAAAAAATAGAACAAAGAATCACAAAAAATAAAAAAAATATATATAGAGAAAAATGTGGGCACATATCTAATGCTAAACACACACACACATATAATATTGGGTACATCTCTAATATTATGCATTCATTATATTGAACAAAAATAAGTGTAATAAGTAGAAATTATTTATATAATGTAAATGAAATATATAGTTTAAAGGAAAAATTATAGTCAATGTGAGTTGTACATTTAAAATTAGGTTGTAGGATGGCCTAGAAACCAATAAAACTTTGACAACCGGCTCTACAATTCAAATTATAAAAACCCCCGCCATGTCACGAGAGGCTTATGTGGCTGTTGCCAACATGGGACCATAGGTTTTCAGTTTCTCTCCCGCTCCCTCTGTCTCTCGATCCCCCTCTCTTCTCTCTCATTCTCACAGTCATGTCTCAATTTGCCACTCCCTCTGTCTCTCCCACTCTCTCAGCTTTGGTTTGTAGCCAAATCAAAACTTCTATTTCTTTTCCACACATACACTCTCTCAACCTATCGTTCTCTCTCATTCTTCTCACTCACTCACTCACTCATTCTCTCTCTCTCTCTCTATCAATATCTCCTTCACCCTTAGTTTTTTTCCCGCTCCCTCTCTCATTCTTTTTTCTTACAAACTTATATAATATTGATTAAACCGTATAAAAGAACTAAAGGGACCAACACTTGTATAATCAAGTTATTAATTTCTATCAAGTTAGTGTAAATTTCGCAACCAAGAGTGTTTTTTGAATTTTAATCAAATTGGTGTAATGATTTTTGAATCATACCAAGTTGGTTTCATGTTCTTTTATACAGTCAAATTAATATCATATAAGTGTGTAGAAAAATAACAAAAGAACGAGAAGGGGAGTGGGAGAGAAATTGAGGGAAACAATAGAAATTAAGAGAGAATGAGAGAGATTGAAGGAGAACAATAGGTAGAAAGAGAAAGAGAAATTGATAAAGAGAATGCAAATACAGAAACCGAAAACCATTTTTATTTGTTTTCAAATCACACAATCGTTGAGCAGAAAAAGACAACTGTGAGAGTGAGAGAGTGGGAGGGTATATATATATAGAGATAGATAGATAGATAGAGAGAGAGAGAGAGAGAGAGAGAAACTAAAAACTTTTTTTTTTAATTTTCCAATTACTTAGCATTAAAAGGCAATTCAACCGACTCTAACTATAAATTTCCCTAATTTAAAATTAATCCAAAAGTAAAAATATTTTCTTATCTAGATAGTGGGTCAATGATCCAACTTTTCAAAGAAACCCATGATGTCATAATTGAATAATAAATATTTAAAAAAAAGATAGAACATCAAAAATGAAAATGTATGGAATTTTGTCGAAAACATTTAAGAACATTTCTAATGTTATATATTCATCATATTAAATAAATATAATTGTTAAAATAAAAGCTATTTTTATTTATGATAGAAATTGAATACAAAATTTAATAACAACAACAACAACAATAATAATTATTATTATTTGCTATAAGTATTTAAATTTATTTTTAATCACGTTGTTACTTTTGTTAATTTTCAATTTCTATCTTAATTATGATATATCTAAAATTCAATTAATTAATATAAAAAAAAATTATGTATAACGTATGTGCTTAATTACTAATCCCCAAAAATGAGGTTTTTAATACAACGGACGAATAATTTATCCTTTAAACCTGTAAACCCCTCAACGACGAGAAGGAAACTTACCAACAAGCGGGCTGACACCTTGCATTTGAGAATCCTTATCTTATGTATGGGTTATTGTACCTTTTTTTTCCTTAAGGCTTGTTGGTGTTAAGAGTCTGGTCTAGGTTGATAGGGTGAGTCTGTGCGCGGTTTGATATAGGTTTTTGGTACACGATGATCTACATCCTCGATCCTCCCCTATATTGATTTGATAACTGTTAATAAAATCGAAGGTGACTGACAGACTGCCCTTCTACTTCGAATAAACTTAGAGTTAAAATAAATACTCAAAATTAGTTTTGTTTTTTTATAAACAATTAGTTTTGGTCATGAAACATGATATTTTAATGCATTTTATTAATATTTTATACTATTTTTATGATGATTAATTAAATTTTATTTGAATCAGACATGGTATTTAATACCATTGTCGTTTATTAGAAAATTGCTCCCGGGTGAACATCAAATAGGCATTTCTGGTTATTACTTATTAGGAAAATGTTTGTCTATGTGACCATGTTTTTGGCTCACTTCCTGGCTTATGTGGCAACTAATAACACGTGATTGTCGAGCTGGCCAAGGGTGTCCCATGACGGATTCTGTGGCTATTCTGTTTAGGCCGCATTAGAACCAACTGCATAATGGAAGATCATGACTAGGAAGGAGTGTCTCATACGGACAATGTAGAAAATTCCGTCGGAGAAGAGGGAACCCCTTGAAGACCTCAACGGAAAACCTCATCCCGACAACCCTATAAGTTCTATCCGACTAGAACATGGATATTCAACTATACATAGGTATTCCTCGCTCGAGGTAAAGGATTTTTGGAACTCTCTACTCACCTAACACCTCTTCGCCCCATCTCTATGGCTCGAAACTAGCATTTTCTCAACATGCTCATCCCAGTCAAACCTTTTTTACTCTACTGATTTAAGTGTCGGAGTGCCTACCTGGGGAATAACTCCTCAGGCCTTTGACTCTTCCTGTACATAGTTGCAGATCTCGGTGTGCGGCTTCGTCCTTCCACCTCGGCCTCATCCAGTTGGAAGGAGTATCTAACTGCGTCCATAGACAACATCAAATTGACGTTGTCTGTAGGAAACACACAAAAAGCCATTTCCCAAACCTCTACTGTACACTAAAAGCAATCATGTCCAAGAACACATCCGATTGCTCCGGAGCCCGCTCCCCATCTCAGGAATCCCATTCACTCCGCAACTCCCCACCTCAGGAGCCCCAGCGGTTGGCCCCATGAATTTCTGTGCCATGTAGCAGAAGGTCGATAGTATCCTCGCCATGATGGAGATGCTAGGGCAATCGGTGCAGGTCCCTAGGACACTTACCTGCCGCGCAGGTGCCTAGCATGGCTGATCCTTGTACTGAGGACTCCAAAAGGTGCCACACGGATCGGCCCTGGGCCCAATCCGCAGCCATCTTGGTGGTCCGATTCCTTAGCTCGGCCTCGTGCACACGACGCCCACAATAGATCCTATCGCTCCAATGTCCAAGTTCCGGTTAGAGAACGACTTGGCCAACGTTTGCAGCAACTGCCGATCTCAATGGCCGAATCTAGCTCGGTCTGGGACTGGCATGCAATCCCAAAAGGGGAGAAGTCCATGAATGTGGCACCAGTTGACCGTATTGCCGATCTCAAAGATTTATGAGAAATGTTGGCCAAACTAGAATGCAGCTAGCCAAATCGCAGTGCAACTCCTCGAACCAGATGGTAACCACCCCAGTTCGAGAAGTATGATGGAACCTCAGACCCCAACGACCACCTCGAGGGTTCAAGGCAATAATGATGTTGCACGACTCAACTGAAGCTCTCATGTGCAAGGCCTTTGCCACAACCCTACATGGAGTTGTCGGAACTTGGTACACTTCGCTCTCGCCACAATCCATATCCTCCTAGGAGCAGCTGGAGATACAACTTCTAGTATAGTTCACTACCAACCAAAGGCACTGGAAGACCTCGGCTAGCCTCATGTAGGTGTGCCAAAAGAGATGAGAGACTCTACGGGACTATTTGACGAGATTCAACGTTGAATCCCTTCAAGTCCGAGCCTTGAACCAATAGGTGGCCGTAGCTGCAATCATGAATGGGTTGCACTCATCAATGTTCAGCTTCTCTCTATAGAAGAATCCTCCACCCACTCTAACCGCATTTATGATACATGCACAGAAATATATTAATACCAAAAAAACTTAAGCACTGCATAGAGAAGAGGAAGACCAAAACAACCGAAAGGAGTGTCCCACACGGACAAGAAAACAAGTTCCGCAGGGAAGAGTGAACCACCCAAAGACATTGACGAATAACCTCATCCCGACAACGTTATATGAAACGTTTCCTCCTAAAAGGGAAATAGAACCAAACGGCCCCTGATGGATAGGATCCTATTCTAATTCCAATAATCCAATTTAAATATAAAAGATTTAAATTTGTATATACCTCTATCCCACCTAATTCGATCCGTTTGCAGCCTTTTACATGACCATCTAACGGAGTTCACCTACTCCCCACCCCACACCCACCCAATAGAATGCGTTCCAAAAACGCCCCAGATGCATATTTTAGCGTGTATTGAGAATATCTCTCCCCCGGTACTTATCATGCACGATTTGAATGTGTTATGGGACGTTTTAGAGGCGCACTCTCCTCTGTCACTCCATCTAACGATGATTCGCTGAGGTTGTTGGGACTTCGGAACATGGATCCCCTAAAATCGTTTCAAATCATTACAGAACCCACAACGAATTTCGTGGCGGCAACAGTCGTCAAAGAATTAAAATTTAAGAATTAAGAAAATAAAGAATTAATACACTCTTTTTGGGCTAAATGTTAAGACCGCCATGCACTGTACTTGGTTCCTCCCTCTCTCCCCATCTCCCTCTCCCTCTCCCTCTCTCTCTCTCTCTACAGACTCCGAGCCTCTCTTTCCTCTCTTGTAGCTCTTTTCTTCTTTTCCCCATCTCCCTTATTCCTCCCTAAACCCTAACTTTCTAGAATTCTAACTCACCGTCGTTACCGCCATGCGTAGTCCTCAATGCTGCTTCTGTAGTAGGAGTGGTGGTGGTGGTGGTAATAACAGTAGCAGTAATTCTCCCAAGAAAGAGGACAGATAGGGAGTTGGGTACTCGGTCTATCCTCCATCTCTGTCTATCGTCTTACCCTGGGTGGGTTTTATTCCCCCTTTGTTTAATTTTAATTTCATTTCATCTGATTTTTTATTACATTATCACACGGCTGGGACATGGGTTGCGCCACCTCTAAGCTCGATGACCTCCCGGCCGTCGCTCTCTGCCGCTACCGCTGCCAGTTCCTCGACGAAGCAATCCGTCAATGCTATGCCTTCGCCGATGCTCATGTCGCTTATATCCGCTCACTCGAAAGGGTCGCCCTCTCCCTACACCGCCTCTTCCATCAAGAAGATGCCGATAATTCTGCCGCTGCCGCTCCACCTTCCCCGGTACTTCCTCTTGCCACCCAGAGAAAGGGTGATCCCGTTGTACTTGCCCATGAACCTTCCACTTCTCCCCGTCCCCCCGCTGCTGTAACTCATCATTCTCACTCCAATTCAGGGTCGCATCTTCACTTCAACTCGGATTCCGACGATGATGGATCTCTTCATCACTCCAGCAATTCTTCCCCATTGCACGACTACAACAATCATCCACAGGATTACGACATGTTCGGTTCTTTTACCGCTGCCGGATATACGACCATGAATTTCATGAAGAATCAAGCCACGCCGTCTGTCTCATACGAACAGCGGCCGATGACCGAGACCGTATATGTGGGCGACTCTTCTTCTTACTATTCATACCCTTATCCATACCCTACCCCTCATTCCTACTACGCTTACCCCCCTGAAAACCATGGCTCCGGCTCCGGCCCCCCTCCGGGTGTCTATGATTCCTCCTCTCCTCCGCCTGCTGCGGCTCCGTCATCCTCTTCCTCTTCGAAACCCCCTCCTCCTCCCTCGCCGCCGAGGAACTCGCTTTGGGATTTCTTGAATCTATTCGATACTACCGAGCGATACTACCATCCTTACACGCCTAGCCGTGACTCAAGGAAAGTGAGGGAGGAGGAAGGGATCCCTGATTTGGAAGACGAAGAGTACGGAGTTGCAAAAGAAGTGCATGGATTTCAGAAGCTTGTTGACACGAAAAATACCGCTGAGGATGAGAATGCCAAGGGAAATGTCAAGGATGGGACAATCCACCAAACAAAGCCGAGTGCGTCGAAGGACAAGGACGGTTTGGAGTATGAAGTTCATATGGTGGACAAGAATGTGGTTTCCAATGAGCAGCGGATCGACGATCAGGCCAACAATGTGGTTAAGCCCCGACCTGTCTCACAGTCTGCTTCTGAGGTTGTCACCATAATTAAGGTTCAGTTCGAGAGAGCTTCTGTGTCGGGCAATGAGGTTTCCAAGATTCTCGAAGCGGGGAAGCTTCCGTATCACCGGAAAAATGCTGTATATCAGGGTATCTAGGACGTCTAGTCAACTTCTTTGATTTTTGTGTTCTCTGATTTTTTTTTTAACAGTTGAACTTTCAAAGATTGCCATTGATCAGATATTTTCAGTGGCAGTTCAATTTTAAACTCCCATTTCTTCTTTTCATATTGCTTGAATGTCCGAATTGTTCCTTGACTTCCTTTCCTAGGCAATAGTTTTGTGTGGAGCGTACACGTTCAGACAAAAATCCTTGTATAAATCATCGATAAGCTTTTTCCTTGATGAAAGAAACGTTCCTAATTGTTACAATAGAAAGCATAAGAGAGATGAGTTTTTGTTTATATTTTCTTAGATTTTGATTTCTGTGGCTTTTCCCTCTGAAACAGTGTCCTCCAGGATGTTGCATGTAATTACTCCATCTCTGTCAATAGTAGCAGCACAGCCTTCTACATCCAAAAATGCGGCATCCTCATCCTCCTCTGAGAAGGCTGGTCCTGTTTACTTGGAGTTCGAAGAAGATGTAGGGATTCTCTCAGGGAATCTTTCTTCTACCTTGAAAAAACTATTCATGTGGGAGAAAAAACTGCTTGATGAAATCAAGGTATGGCATGTTTTGCTTTGATCACTGCTACTTTGCATTTACCTCAATTTCCTGATTGTTATAATTCGATTTCATTTAAATTTTAATTGTTTAAAAATTCATTGTTGGTTGATAATGATCAATTTAGGTGGAATATTTGTGGATACTCCTGTGCTTCCTAGAATTATGGCTTTGTTCCTTTTTCAATGGTTATTTCCTTATCTACCTTTCTTTGATGATGTCAATTTAGAGTAATACAACCTCCATTACTTCTTGTGCTGCCTTCTATGTAGTTGGACCAATAGAAGGAGATTTAATCGTAGTATAACCAATGCTAGTGGTACACCCATAGCAATGCTGAATCTTAGGAAATTTTCTTCTTTTTATTTTGTGGATGTCATAGAAATCTTTTGAAGACTGCTGGTTGATATGATTTCAAGTTGAGCTTCATGGAGGATTTGCGTGTTTTTTTTTTTTTTCTATTACATGGACGGAGGCTTTTTTTTCTTCCTTCTATTGCTGCAGAGCCTTTTTAACTGGATTTTGCACCTTTAAACATGAATTTGTTATATTACAGATCAATTGAGAGATTGGAAAACAATGACTCACCAACTGTATAGGATGAGATGGAAGAACTTTTTTATGTTTAACTTTTCTCAAAATCATTGACTTCAGGGGTAAATATTGTTGAGAAATCATGAGAAACTTTGTAAGCTATTGTTCTACAGAAGTTTGTGCTTTCATGTGTCTTTTTTTGCCTCTGTTTTTTACCATCAATTTTCTGTTCATCTTATTTCTTGGTTTTCTTCTCCTCCTTTGTAAAACTATAAAGTTTTATTAAGGTTATGAAGCAATGCACAGCACATGTCAAGATCAACTAAGAGGATATACTGTCATCTCTTGGACAGAAAGTAGATCCTACTTCAATTGAATAACTTGTACTCGTCTGTATTTCAATTATGGAAAGCTATAGAGTAGTTAATAAGGGCTTGCTCATCTAGAAGCTGAAGAGGTTCTTTTCCACCTTAAGCACTAGAGATTATAATGTTTTTTGCATTATGGTAAATTAAAATTGTCAACCTCTGCATGTACACACTTTTGAGTTTCTATGCTTGTTACACAACGGAAATTTAAGCAGTTCATATTTTGACAATGAAGTACCTGAGTTGAAGTATCAAAATATTTTAGCTGACTGTTAACAGGTAAAGAATAAAAGAAAAATAAAAGCCTTAGGTAATGTAGAATGAAGTTACAAGATCACTGCTGCCAATCCCATTTAATCTTGATGGCAATTTTCTGAGTTTGAAGACAAAGAACATATGCATGGGGTGGTTGGTCCTGCACATACCGTTGGTCCAATTAGAAGATGTGTGACAAATTCCAAGCTCTGAATCTTTTTGACAATGACCATCATTTCTGACTGGCCATAAGTGTTAAGCTGTTGTATGTGTAACCTCCTTGCGGTGTATAATGCTCCTATAACGTGTCTGTTTTCCATGTAAATGACTACATCTTTTTTATGTCTTGTTACGCTCTCACTTTAAATGCTGTCACAATGAGAAAAGTACTGTTATCTTGTTTTATTTGTGGCTCATCTCTTTGGAGTTGGGATTGCATGCCGTATTTTCTCATGTTATTTGAAATTTACTCTGAGATGCATGTCTTTCAAGGACCATCGTGCACTATATTTAGTTTGAGATGGTACATTGGTTTTAGTTTTGTTTATTTTCTAAACTTTCCTATTCTTGCTATGTAAGAACAATAGTGTTCTTCAAAGAATTTCTTGTGATTATGTTTCTTAGGAGGAAGAGAAGACACGGCTTGTTCATGAAAGGAAGTCTCGACAGCTGAAACATTTGGATGAGAAGGGTGCTGAATCTCATAAAGTTGACTCTACTCGAACCACTGTCAAGAATTTATCTACAAAAATTAAAATTGCAATCGAGTTTGTTGACAGGATATCGAATAAGATAAGCAAGTTGAGGGATGAAGAGTTGTGGCCACAGATCAATGAATTAATTCAAGGGTATGTCATTCTTCTGCTGATATACATTAGCTTGACTGTCATTATTCTTTAGAGCGTTGTGTTCCAATGATTTTTAAATGACTACAATTTAATATCATCATTTAAAAGAGGATGCAGATATGCAATAATTTGGTTTCTGTTGATATGTAGCTTTGTTGAGTACCTTGCTAACTAATTAAAAACAGAAAAAGAATTCCAAGGATAAATCTACTTGCCTATGCCTCCCTCCTCTGGATCTTTTCTTTATCGTTTGGTGTTAGAGATGATGGGTCAGGTGTCTAGTCTGGGACAGGGTGGAACCAGTCCCAACCTAATTATAGTCAAGACGTAAAACTTAGAACTAGAAGTGAATCAATTATCAATCAGGATAATCAGGTTTGACCTAATTATACTTGACATCTGTAATTACCTATAAATATGACAAATTAGAACTTCATTTTTGATAATGTAACCTTAATGAAAATGACAGTAAATAGTAAACTGTTTATATGTTGATAAAACAAGTGTTTTAACTAAAATTCTCTTATTTTGTGTCTGAAGTATTGAAGTTTATCCTTTTAGATGTAAAATATATCAAAAAATATTATCTGTGTCCTGGCCATGATTTCTGGTGGGTGGCATGCCTTACACTTTTTAGGCCCTTAATGCTTGGCACCAGTAATAAGGTAACCTAGGTATCTTCTAAGTTCCTAATTTCTTTTACCAAAAATTAAGTTAATATAAAGGTGTAATGTTTACATATTCATCTATATGAGATCTATAAAATTATGCTGGTATGCCCAGAGTTGTAGCTGATATGAATGAGGGAAGTTGTAATGTGTTAAATTTAGGTTGTGTTTGGTACCTTTGCAATTTCAAGCTCAAACATTTAGATAGGCAATGGAATTTCATGTCAAAACACAAAGTCACCAACACTGGCGTTTTGACATGAAACTTTGTTTGGTTGGTACTGATGCTGACTAGGCTTTCAACAAGTGTTTTGAGCAGTATTGTGTTTGGTATAGGCATCGGTACCTAAAACATTTAAATGAAATGCTTATACTCAATGTGACACCATCTTCTTATATTGATTCTCATCGAATGGTCAAATTTAAAAATAAATGTTTTCTGATGATTGGCTTATTATTACACACAGAATAACATCTATATGCAAGTCTGATGGTTGCAGAAGCGTAGAACCAAAAAAGAACCTTTGTTTTGGAGGTAGCGTTCATGGGTATTCGATGGTATATAACTGTATATCCATCTTTGCTAGCATGCTGTGCACCAGATGACCAGAATTTATCTCTACACTGTCAGATAGGATGCCAACAAAGAGCTAGGTCATTGGACTGTGTATTCAAATGGACATCTAATGAAAGAAACATCAATTTGACGTTTCCCCTAACACCCCCTGTTTTATGTTTCTAGTAGAAATATTTTATGACCATTTTAAAAAACAGTCTCAACCAAACAAAAAATTGATGTTTAAACACAAAATGCCTCGGTGGCACTTATGTGGCTGCGTTTCAAATAGAAACAACCACAGTACCGAACATCACCTTAATTCTTATGATGTAATTATGGGAGTTGTGCCAATAAAAAGTATTGCTGTTGCATGTAAGTAATTTTTCTCAGTAAATTGTGCTTGCAGTGGTTATGGTTTTTGAGATGGATATTAATTTTGCTCAGTAAATTGTGCTTGAGTCGGGGTCTGGAATCAGTTTTAAAAATGAAACCGGTTTTTCTGGAATGTGCGGGGATTGAGAGAAGAAAGAACTATTGGTAGGAACATTCGTAGAAAGATTGCTCCAGATGCCGCTTTATGCCTTTATTGCAAGAAATGAAGTTGGAAGTTTTTGACCTGGACATAAAAAATGAAAGTTTGGGGTGCTAATAGAGGGGATTGGGCAGAGGTAAGGCAAGTGGTTTATCAGGAGGTTTAGTAGTAATCTGGGATCCTGGATATCTAAGGAAAATTGGAGAGGAGGGGAGTACATTCAATCTGTTTTCAGATGGTGGAAGGGGGGTGGGGGTGGTAATCTGTGATAGTGTTATGTATTTCTGTATCTCTGCTCCCTAGCAGATGTTGTTTTGCTTTTTGGTTCCCTATGAAATACAGGTAATGCCTTATCACCTGCTAGGTTGCAATCCTTTTTTATTTTAATTAATTTTATTTTTATCTTCAAAGAAAATAATATACATGGATCTTGATTTTTTTCCAAAGGGATATGGATGTTGTAGTGGCACTTATGTTCATCTAGGTAGTTGGGATTTCATTAACTCTTTCATGGTTATGCATATTTGGAAGAATTAATCATAACTTTATTGAGTAGACTAGGATCCATGGCTCCATTTTTATTATTGTTGATCATAATTTCCATTATAGCCCTTGTATAATTGGCTTTGGTATAGGTGAATGGATAAAGTAGATTCACACTTTTGATTTTCCTCTGTCTGTGAAATACCTGATATTTAAATTAGGTAGGTGATTGCTTACAGCCTCATTTTTTTTTTTCTTTTTTGATGGCAAGTTAATTGTTTTTCCTTTTAACATACAGATGCAAGACTTTTTTTTTTTCTTCTCTGCTGTCACTTGAAAAAAAAGAAATGAAAATGATCTTGCTATCTTGTGCCTTTTAATATGGGAACAACAGCAATCCCTTTGGATATTTGGAAGAAATCGTGACATCTGTGTCATCTGTTAGGCACAGTACTTGTGGCTGGTGGAAGGGAGTTGCCAGATCCCTTTCCCTCTAATGTTGAATTGAAGCATCCTATGAAGGCCGTTACCCAATGCTGGTCTGATTTTAATTGATAAAAAACCATCTGGTCTCAGCTACCCATGGTCTTGCGATCTTTCAAAACTGCTCTCAGGATTGGATTCACATTCTTATGCTTGTTAGCCTGTGGTTAAACCATCATGTGCTATTCTGGACATCTCATATATATATATATGTCTATCCAATGCTACAGAATTTTCATTTCTGCATTTGTTTATGTTTTAAACATGTTAGGTTGACTAATACATAGTTAATTTATTCTTTCAGGTTACTTAATATGTGGAAAGTCATGCTTGAATGCCATCAGAATCAGTGTCAGGTCATTGTAGAGGCTAAAAACTTAGATGCTATTGTATTTAACAGAAAGCTTAGCTCTGCTCAACTTGAAGCCACAGTGCAGTTCCAACATGAGCTTCTAAACTGGATTTCAAACTTCTCCGGTTGGATCAGTGCACAGAAGGGCTTTGTTGATTCCTTGAATGGTTGGCTTTTGAAGTGTCTCCACTATGAACCAGAAGAGACCCCTGATGGAATGGCTCCCTTTTCTCCTGGTAGAATTGGTGCACCTCTTATTTTTGTAATTTGTCACCAGTGGTCTCAAGCATTGGAAGGAATTTCAGAGAGGGAAGTGGTTGAAGCCATGTGTGGTTTTGCCCTAAGTGTGAAACACAATATAGATGTCTGCCAAAGAATGATAGTTCATGGGGATGTGGAGGGGAAAGTTAAGACCTTGGATAGAGAGGAACTGAAGATGCAAAAGGCAATTCAGGCACTTAACAAGAAGATGGTTCTAGTTTGTGAGCAGGAAAATGTTATTGTTGTGCATCAGGGTGACATTACTAATGGGAGTCTTCAGTTAGGTCTGAAAAAGATTTTTGATGCCATGGAAAAGTTCATTGCAGATTCCTTTCAAGCTTATGAGGATCTCCGTGTACGTAGTGAAGATAGGTTTGCTCAAGAGAAAGCAAAAGTTCCATAGAAAGACTCTAGGACTAAATCATTTCTGCCCCTTTTGCAGTTGCTAGCTGGTTCCCTGATTTCTATGCTTGGCACAGTGACGAGTGTCAAGAGGTTTGAGTACTTCGGGATTTTCAGCTGGGATCCAAGAGCAAGATCCTTGGTTTTGGTGCAGAATTTAATTTCCTCGGAAAGATATTTTATTTCATTTTTTGGGTTGGTTAAACCTTCATCCTTTGACTGGTTCAAGAGGGTTCATGATCTTGGTGGTCTTAATTGTGGATCTATTATTAGGGGACATGCTCTTTTTCAACCCTTAAGCAAATATATATCAATATATGTCTGCATAGGGGGCAGCATTACATGTCGAGAAAATATGGATATGAAAAACTCATGAAGGCTGTCTTGTTACGTTCCCAGGAGATGCATAATTGTGAATTTTGTGACTGAAACCGCACCATGTTATGTGAGGCATAATTGGCACCTGTCCAGTTCTAATTCTTCCGAGCAGTTGTTGTATGGTAACCAAGGAGATATGAGACATAATTGGAGTAAGTTCATGGTGGGATTATGTGATCAACCTAAGCTTCATTAGCTTTGTGGTTACAATGTTGTGATTCTAGTACACCACCACGAAGGATTGAGACTTGTGCTCCCTTAGTTCTCTTTCTGCTCTGCTAGGTTTGTTATCTTTGCAGCCAGGGTGGGGACTTTGCTGATTCATTTCTGGCCTCTCGCATGAACACGTGGTTGAAGCAAGGTTGTTGAACTTCAAGGGAAGGACTGCCACAAATTTTCCCTGGGACTGGACCTTCAGGTTTTTGTATTTAGGGATCATCTAGTTTGACACAAGTTAGTAGGTACTTACTGCCTGTCTGGAAGCGCAATCTTGTCTTGTATTATAATGAGCATATATATATATAATTTTTTTTTGCTTGATTTTGTTCAAGTTTGTTGTACAGAAAATCCTGAGAGCTGAAGTGTATTATTTACAAGGAAGACGATGATATATAAACTGAATCAGGCTTCACTAACACAACCGCAGTTTTAGAACTCAGAAAACTTGGTGCTGACTAGTGAAAGGCTGAAAGCCTGAAACTGAAAGTTGGATGCTAATGAAAACTAATTGCCAAGCCTAGAGACCTTGTATCAAATCTTTTTACTCTATGGCTTATATCAATATTTTCAATTTATTGTGCTAATTGAACCATTGCTTGCATAGAGACTGATTAGACTAGTTGAATTGTTATTTGACTTGGATTTTAGGTTCATTTTCCACAAATTGCTTGTAAAAAACCATTGACTTGGCCAACAACATGGTGACTTAGCTAATCAAACCATTGAATCATTTGATTTGTTTAGTAGGGTGATGGAATGGATATCAATTTTATCTTTTCATACTTTTTGTATTCCATTTCCATCATTTAACAAACATGAAAGTGGTTTCATTGTTAAGGTAGTTTTAAATTTTTTATTTCTGTCAATAAAATTTTCTTACTTATCATTCTTAAAAACTAGTTTCATTTCCAAGTTGATTTTCCATATAAAGTTTTTATACTATTAAAATTGTTATTTGTGAATTTAGTTAGTGAAATTTAATGATGAGAAACAAAAATACATTAAATATATGATTCAATGAGAGAAAATTGAAGTTAACTTTAAATATGAGACTTAATGAGAGAATAGAATGAAATAAAAAAATAGTATTCAATTTACAATTTATATATATATATATATGAGAGAGAGAGAGAGTAATTTAAGTCAAGAAAAAGTTTAAAAGCCTTAGAGATCTATTGCCATTTCTTATAGATTCCAAGTAAATTGTAATTCATCTACAAATCAACATGTTGCTCCAAGTGTCTAGAGTAGTTAAATTTGTCTAACTAAATTCTTCATGCAATTTCAATTACAATTCATTAACTTCTTTAATTTATAGATGTCTATTTAGACATGTTGTGAGTTGTCAAAAAAATAAAAAAAATCAGACGTGTCGTTATTTAAGATGCATAAAAGAAATCCATTTATGTCCTCTTATACAATTTAGCAAGAAATTAACAATTGAGGGCTCAATTTGTCTTATTTTTTATCTCATTTTAAACAATCAACAAAATAGTTGATTTTCCCTCAAATTCAAATACAAAAGTATTAACACAAAGGGGAAAAATACTTTTTATAGGTTTTTCAGAAACACCAGGGGTTCTTAATGATTTTCCCAAAAATACTTCTTATTAATCTTTTTGAGGGTATGTTCATTTGAACAACATTTGAAATAGAGGAATTACATTTTTTTTTTCTTTTTGTCTCCATGGGGCTACAGAACAAGAGTGGCCCATTCCCTAAACCCATAAACCCCCAACCTAGGTGCAGGTGGGATTTGATTCCTAATCTCTTAGCTACAACCACCAAGAGACCTTATCGATTGGTTAGTTGGCATCTTGTAAATAGAAAAAATCACATTCAAAACTTATAGTATAGATCTTTCATCTTTAAAAAGAGTTTTCAATTTCCAATCCTAACTTTTCTTTTTAATGTTAGTTCTGATTTATTCAGAGCCTTTTTATCACTCATGCCTTGAATAATTAGATCACCCAAATATGGGATGCTCATAATCTTAAAAATCAAAATTTGAAGCCTATCTGGCAATTTTTTTTTTAGAAAATTTGACTTTTTGAAATGGATATTTCAAATGAGACTCTCTCAAACATCTTGGAATTGGGTAGAAACTACTTATAAACCAATGGAAAAGCTGATCCAAAAGCCACTATTTTAAAAATCGGACCGGATCGAATGATCAAACTGTTCGACTAAGGAACCAATCATAGTTCTAGGTCCGATTTTGGGTTGGAGCCCTTTTTATGAAAAGAAAAGTTGATTTTGTCAAAAAAACCGCTAACCTGGGCACTCAAACTACTAAGTCATTCGACCCAGGCAACACTTTGTGGGTTTTTGGTCAATTAACATCTCTCCCTCTCTCCCTCCCTCCCTCTTATTCTATTCTAGTATTCGGACACTTTCTCTCTATCACCTCTCACATCTCACCTTTTACCTCTCCCGCAAGTCCCCTATCTCCTAATTCAATTAATATATTAGCATAGGCTTTTAAGTTTTAAATGTCACAAAAGTTATGTTTTAAAATCATTAAACAGTGACAATTGGACCTACTTTTAAAGATGATCAAATAATAATGATTTTATTCAATATTAATTAAAAGAGAGAAATATATCTAGTTAAAACTCTATTAAATTTCATTTATAATTCATTATTAATTAAAAGAGAGATAAATATTCTATAAAAAAGAGAAATATATCCAACTAAACACTCCATGAAATTTCAATTCCAATTCATTTAACTAATCCGTTTAAAATAATCAATAAAATATCAAATTTGTTCTCAAATTCAAATCTGAATACATTGACAAAAAGGGGCAGAATTTGTCCAACTAAAATTCCAGGAATTTTTAGGGGCTGTTTGTACTTTTTAAAATAGTATAGATTTAGTTTTTCAATATTAATGATAATTACTTGAATAAATTAATTGATTTCATGTTCTTTTTCTGCATTGTTATATCTCTAGTGCTCAGGACTTTCAGGTACGTGTTTCATTTTCTTTTTATGCTTTTCCCGTGCTTAATTTTTTCTGCATTCTCAAAATAAATGCCCTTTAATTATTTCTTTCTGCAAATATATTACGTGAACATCCTACAATCAAAATCCTAATCTAAGTATATGTTTGGCATCGATGCTGCAGTTGCAGCACCGTTTTCTAATGTGTGGGTTGGAAGCACTGTTTTCTCAGAGAAAATGATGTCTTTTTTTTGTTTGGAATCGTTGAGCAACAACAACTTTTTCTGTTTGGTACCAATGCTTTAAGAAACATTTTCTGCATTTCTACCCATTATCCAATGCTACATCACTGCCATGTTGGCAACAACGATCTACAGCTCCAGGAAACGCCAAATTTGGCGTTACTCCAAGCCATGCCTTCCCAATTTCCAAGACATGGCTTAAAGCATCATTTTCTATGGAAAAATAGTTCCAAACAGATGAATGTTCATTGGAGCACTGTTTTTTCCTATATAGCACTGATTTGGCACTATTGCTCCAGGAAACGGCAACGATGCTAAATAGCCCCTAAATGAACTGATTAATACTAATTAAAGATTCGAGTTGCACTATATCCATTTCAAGAGGCGGGTAAAGAAAAAGATGCATGTTGGGTCAGGAATGACCCATTTTCGTGGAAGTTGTACAACCTGCTTACCTGTACATAAATCAAGCTGTGCTGCTTGTAGCCTGTCATGATTTTTTACAGACCTGGCACGGCCTGGCATGATAGTGTCTGGGTTGTTCTAGGCACGGCACGATTGTGCGAGTTGTGTCGCCAGCAGCCCAGCCCATGGAACGGCCTAGCGGATATATATAAAATAAACAATTGTTTTTTATTTTATTATACTATTTTATTTAATTATTGTACATATTAAAATTCATATAAATAAAAAATTTAAGACTTATTTTTTAGTTTTTTAAAATAAATCTTTCATAGTTTTGGCCTGGCCTAGCCCAAGACTCATTGACCATGCCAAGCCAACCCCAAAATATCGAAGGAAAGAAGGCACGGCCCAAGATGGCCCGCGGGCCGGTACAGTAAGGCCCGTTTTACAGCACTACGCGCATGTTGCACCATCAATTGCAAAAGGAATTTGTAGCCTCACAAGGGAGTTTGTTGTCAATTGCATCAATGCTTTTCTTTTTTCTTTTTATTTGTTTATGTGACACATGATACGGAAAAATTTATAGGCAATCAACGATAAAGCGGTGATGACCAATCAGAATTTATAAATATAGAATTATAAAAAAAAAATCCAGAAATCTAGAAACACTTGATCTCTTCAAGTGGAATGGTTTTTTGTGACATAATTCCACATGTTATTTCTTTCCTTGCAATAATTTTTTATTTTTGTAATTCAAAATGTGTACAAGTCTTTGATATCGACCAAGTGTTTTTTAGGTACTATTGTTCTCTATTTATTCAAATTTCCGACCCTTGCTTAGCTTATTCCTGAATTTACGTTTTTTTTTATTATTATTTTTCATGTAATACATTTAAAAACTAAGTGGATTAAAAAAAAATTGACATTTTGACTTCCATGTGACATGTCTTAACATTCTACCTCCTTTAAAAAAAAAGTAGCCAATTCTCAAAACCTTGACACCAAATTAAGACAGATTGCAGGTTATGAAGTAGAGTAACACCTAGAAATCGTCTCTTTAGTATCACAATCAAACAAATGTTAATTCGGTTGCATAACTTAGTCAAGGCTTTTAAAATCGGATCGGACAGGGAATCGTTCTGGGACTGGTTTTCGGGTTGAACAGTTTGATTTTCTACTTTGAATGGTCTTTTCTAACTTAAAAAAATAAAAAATGGTCAAAAACCGTTATTTGAATTGACAGTTTGACTGCAGGGTCAATGGATAATTGATCAAATCAATGATTTTTGATCAAAAAACGATTTTAGGATAAAACAGAATCGATTACCTGACCCATCCCTTGTTTTTCTGATCAAATCTAATTTTAAAAACGATAAATTTATTCAAGTTAATTTTGCTTTAGCTTTACTCGACTAGTCCCTGTAAAGCGGATACTCCCCTAAAGGAAGAGAGCAAAGGCAGAAAACCTTGGTAAAGCAGACCTCTCACCTATTTTGTCAATACTCATAATATATAATCCAAAAAGCTAGCTGTGTAAGAGGCAATTTGGTAGTATGTTTAATGATTCTCCTATATTTTTGTCCTTCACGAAAACAATATACATTAGAGTCCCCCTTGTTTATTAGTATAATAATTGATTCTCTGTAAATTAGAAATTGCACGAGAGTTTGTCTCTAAATTAACTAGAAATTGCACTAGAGTTTGTCAAGGACAATTTCTCTCATTCAGTCTTGCTGACCTGAAACACCCTTTGTAGGGGTGTATCGGAAATTTTGAACCTGAAACACCC